TGGGTGGGGGTGGTCCATTGGGTGGGTGTGGTCCATTGGGTGGGCGTTGTCAATTGGGTGGGCGTGACCCATTGGGTGGGTGCAGCTTTGGTGTTACAGCAGAGTGGGTAGGACTAAAAAGTTCACTCAATCAATTCCAACTTTGCGAGATCTTTTTTTTCCCCACGAGAAGTTGAAATTGATTGAACCTCTTTTTTTTTTGCATACGGCGGCGGAGACCTAAAGCAAAAAAGTTTTATAAAACCCAGCTGAAGGCCTAGGACTGGGGCGACGGTGCGCGTGCCCACAGAGAGGGCTCTGTGTGCCACCTGTGGCACGCATGCCATAGGTTTGCCACCACGGGTCTAAGATATTACATTGGAGTCTACTTTTGGTAAATATTGATCTTGCACATGGTAGCACCATGTGATGGCACCCCAAAGCTGTAGTTTGGACTAGACTTCTTAGCAATAGCATGCTCTGAAGCTGCTCTTCAAGAATGCATGAATCTTCCACGACCCAAGGCTGCATTTTTTTTCCTGGTTGAGTTGCATCTTCTGGATAGTTCATCGACCCTAGACCATGATTGATTCATCAGCCCTGGATCGATAGTCTTCCTCCATCCTGGTTCCCCTGATACAATTCTTAAATTTGAGTTTCCCCCTCCAGCAGCCACTTCGGATTCATTTATGACAATAGTGTTGCTTTAGATTGTGGTTTCTAAAAAGAACTCTGTTCCTTAGGTGGAAAGGAGAAAACGTGGCTACGACAGAAGTTGCCGATATTTTAGGTCTGATCAACTTTGTTCAGGAGGTGAATGTGTATGGTGTATCTGTGCCAGGTATGGAGCAAAGACGGAATGTCTTCCAGGGAGGGACGGAGGGAGGGAGGGAGGGAGGGAGGAGATGAGGGAGGGAAGGAAAGAGATGAGGGAGGAAGGAAGGAAGGAAGGAAGGAAGGAAGGAAAAAGGAGGGAAGGGAGGGAAGGAAGGAAAGTAGGAAGGAAGGAGATGAGGGAGGGAAGGAAGGAGATGAGGAAG